TTCGCAGCTTTCCAACGAGTCCCCAGGCCAGAATTCTAACTCCACTGCAGCATGTTCTTTAGACTTGAAAACACCTCCATAACAGTCATGCTCCGCCAAACCCCCAGCTGCACCACCTGTGAACTATGACCGGTATGAAATACAGCGGCGAGTGAAGTAGCAGCAGCCATTGGTAAGCAATGTTTGTAGCAGATAAAAGGCACCAAACCCGGCCATATCTCGGACGCTTTGCAAAGACCTCATCATCATGAAAGCAAGGTGCTCTGTTGACATGATGTTCTGTCCCCAGTGCCCACTTCTTCTCATCACATTCACGTGGCATTGGGTAGCAGATGTTGCATGCCAATCAAGTACATTGTGTTGTGCCCAGGGCTAGAAACCATGCAACCATGTAGGGAAAACATCACTCTCAGTGACAGTAGATATCTGTTCCACTGATCACAGGTGACATTGATCAGAACCAGTCATCCGCAGGAGCGCACACCACCCTCAAGGACAAAAGACAAGTTCAGGTCCGAAAGAGGTGAATTGCCAAAAAGATGAGACCCGCTGCAAAGTTGTTGTTGACTTATATTTTACTTCACCAAAGTCACGGGTCAAAGAGCAAAAATCCTATCAGCTGCTTTCACGTTACCCTCAAGGTTACTGATCATAATGTGCAGCACTTCAGTACGGTGGAGTCTGGTTTTAAAATTATGCCGGGATAGTTGAGGAACATGCAAGGAATGTTCCTTTTCAGAGTACTGGGATCATGTTCCCAGGATTTTTACTCAGTGCGAGACACATCTTCCGGTTTGAAATCCTATTTCTACAAGGAACCGTATAGTTCACCGGCTCCAGGACTCACACCACTGACCAGGTTAGCAGTGTAGCCGCATTCCAAGTAATGAACACGGCTCGTAAGGGACGTTGGTAACGTTCAGACTCAGTAGAAGTGTAGAGCCACAAACCCTGTGATTGTACAGTACTGTCGGCCACCGAAGAACTGGGGGGTTAGCCTCCTAGCCTAGACCGTTCAGTCCTACTTTCATGTATTACCGTCTATTGCGGTTGAGTCATTGTCCATACATTGGCATGCTGTGCCTGGTCGTTCTTCGGCACTCCGTTCTTCGGCACCCGGCAGTGCTGTAGTGTTCATGTTTTGTTCTTGTAGTGGACGAGCAGATCATACCATTCACATCTATAGCAGCCCGCTTTCTCTGCACTATGGGCTGATCGCTGCAGAGAGATGGTTAGACTGCAGAACTGCAGTCTCCACAGCAACACCAGTGCAGTGAAGCGAACATGTACTTGTAGGAACAGACACTTCAGGTTCTTCAGCAACGCACTGAAATTTTTCACACGTAAATGTTGTTGAAGGACCTGAAGTGTGTGCTCCTAAAACGTGTTATAATTATACAATGCACTCTATAGTTTACTTACCCTCCCAGGGATGCTCCGGAAGCGGAATTCTCCGTCGGAAGAAATAGGCCGCACATCATCTCGGCGCCGAGACGATTCATGTCGGCAAGCGTCGCGTGCGTACAACTCGTCGCTGATGCGGACGCTGCCGTTCGAGGTCGGTAGTGTGCCGCCGTCGACGCCTGTTCGCTCTGGCACTGTCGGAGTAGCAAGTCGTTCTCCAGTAGCAGTATCCCGTCACAGTGGCTGTACAGGTGCTGAAGACAAAGGGTGCAGTTATACCACTGCATTGGACTTTCACCATTCAGCAGCAGTGCTACACATACCGACAGCTGCTGAGCAAGTGGGTACTCGTCACGCAAACACTCAACCAAGTGGCTCCCCATGCCTGCAAGGAGAACGAAGGGAAATCGTTCGATTATTTCAGGCCTTTGTGTAAGGAAAGTGCAGGAGACAGTGAGCAGTCACTCGTTATTTCCTGTCAGGAGACTGACAGAAAAGAATCCCCCCCCCCCCCCCCCAAAACCGCTTACACACCCGTGTTTGATTGGGAAGAAGGACGGACGCTGCATCGCAGCCTTTTCCTACCATAACCAGTCGACCCAATGTCCAAAAGACTACAACATATGGGCCAATCGCGGTCATCCGTGCTTTTATAGGAACGAAATGGCGCTTTTAGTGACATTTTGCATACAAATCCCCATCTTGTAGTGCGCAGTCACCCAGTTTCGGTGGAAGTGCGCGAGTTTGATTGGGAATAAAGGAGGAAGGGAGCGTCTCAGCTTCCTCGGACCAATACCATTCGACTCAGCACCCCGAAGACTGCAACTTGTGAAATATGTGATCGATACTAAAATAATAATTAAAGGGGAAGTTAAGGCAAAAATTAAAATTTCACCAGTTGTAGTCTTCGGGGTGCTGAGTCGAATGGTCTTGGTCCGAGAAAGCTGAGACGCTCCCTTCCTACTTGAATCCCAATCGAACTCGCGCACTTCCACCGAAACTGGGTGACGGCGCCCTACTAGATGGGGATTTGTATGCAAAATGTCACTAAAAGCGCCATTTCGTTCTTATAAAAGCACGGATGACCGCGATTGGCCCATATGTTGTAGTCTTTTGGACGCTGAGTCGACTGGTTTTGGTCCGAAAAGGCTGCGATGCAGCGTTCCTTCTTTATTCCCAATCGAACATGCTTGAACAAGCGGTCACGTGCTCCTGGGTGCCCGAATCACCTGGTCACCACGCAGGCGACAACAGGCGACAACTTTCACACCAAGGTTCAACTCGAGTGACAGGACTGCACCCAAAAAAGGTCAAACAGGCTAGTAAGTTGTACCCTGCAGGCACGGTGACCAGGTGACTGGCGTACGCAGGAGCACGTGACCGCTTGTTCAACCATGTTCGATTGGGAATAAAGGAGGAACGCTGCATCGCAGCCTTTTCGGACCAAAACCAGTCGACGCAGCGTCCAAAAGACTACAACATATGGGCCAATCGCGGTCATCCGTGCTTTTATAAGAACGAAACGGCGCTTTTAGTGACATTTTGCATACAAATCCCCATCTAGTAGGGCGCAGTCACCCAGTTTAGGTGGAAGTGCGCGAGTTCAATTGGGATTCAAGTAGGAAGGGAGCGTCTCAGCTTTCTCGGACCAAGACCATTCGACTCAGCACCCCGAAGACTACAACTGGTGAAATTTTAATTTTTGCCTTAACTTCCCCTTTAATAGTACATGTAGTATCATGATGGCTCACCTGATCCAGTACCGCCACTCAAGCTGTGCGTCACAACGAATCCTGAGAACGATTCACAGCGCTCCACTTCACGTCGCAGAGACTCGAGCGTTTGGTCCAGCAGGGTGCAACCATCTATACAGCGACTTCCAGTTCCACTGGCCGACTCCACAAGCTTGCTGTAGCCCATGGCCCAGTTCGCACCGCGCCCACGACGACTGCACAGAACATTCTCATCTCGTAGTACATAATCATTGGTCGATGTTGCACTGGCCTTGCTGCCTGCTGCATTGCCAGGACTTATTCCGAATATTTGAGCGGCACGACGTCCGGCGCACCGCGTCCAGGACTTTCGGCTCCGTGTCGACCAGCACTCGGCGTTGTCGACCGTCCACCGTGTAGAATGGGTGTCTCTCCAGTGCTGTCCGCCGCACTGCCAGTGCCAGCGGTGCGCTCGTCCACACACTTCCAGAAAGCCTCGCCCAGTTGAACGCCGCACTGGCCTACATTCAGAAACACGGTGGACATGGCTTTTCGTGAGGTTTTGCATTCCGAAATTCGGCAAAAAGATTCGACACGCGGGAGCGAGGTCGAAAATGCACACGAAGATTCGGAGTGTTTGTTCGGAAAAAGCTCACTTTGCCGAAAATATTTTTCGGATGCATTTTCTTGTAGAAGAGCGCTAGCGCGTGATTTATTCAAAGAGGTTTCTTATCTCGGCATCGCTTGGCAGGCGTCTTTGGCGACATAGCATCGTCAGCTACCTCTGATTGCTCCTCTCCACTGCCTGTCGACTCTCTTTCGCCTGGAGTGTCCTCACCGTCATCTGTGTGGCTGAAAAGACTATGGCGACACGCATAAAATTTGACTTGGCTATGGAGTTGGTTTTTCTGAGGCGACTGAGGAGGCAGGTTTGGCCCTCGACTCTTTGGGCGATCAAAGTTCGTTGGAATCAGCAAGAAAAGGCGCACGGGACAGGACGTTGCTGATGCTGGGGCTCACGAAATGAAAACACATCATTTTCGACTTGCAAAACAAACGTTGGTGCGAAAATTCGACATTTTGATGTTCGACAAATGACCGAAGAACGCTGTACCGAAATTCGGAATGCAAAACCTCACTAATGTTCGTCTCTATCGACGCCCCGTTGTGCGAAGTTTCGGACCAAGTGAATAGAACCGAACAGCAAGAATCAAGACCATTACATGATTTACATGAAGAGAGTGGTAGTACATTATAGGCAGTGTGATGAAACTTTAATTGAAAGGGCTTGCACGACTCTTCATCTTTAGTTTAGTTTACCCCTAGCTAGTATTAGCAAGAGTACATAAACAAGAGTGTGCAACTGCCTGCACAACCTCTATGCTGTGCTGCGACGGCAGAACTTCACATCACGTGACATGGTTCAAAAGGTTATGCTGGCAAACAGTGCAAAGTGACCACAAGAGAGTTGTACCCAAAGCTGGGCTGCGTACAACCCAGTATCTATCATGCACTAGAGTGCACGGGTTCATCACGTGATGTGAAGTTCTGCCGTCGCAGACCCCATAGCTGGAGTTGCACACTCTTGTTTATGTACTCTTGGTATTAGTAATAAGCAAGGTCCTTTTATTTTTTCAATGTACCTCCGCCCCGCGGCCGGCCCGATACCGGTACTTGAAGTATAATTACTATAAAATACCGGTATCAAAGAATAATGATCATGCCTTTCAAGCATGGTGATCATCATGATCATACTAACTACTAGTAACTAATTACTAAGTCTTATTAGTGCACCCGGGCCGTACCGCGGTAGACTCTAGTACTGGACGGACGTCAGCGACATGTCGACGCTCGATCGAAACTAACTAATTTAATACTTTAATTTTTTTGTCAGCTGGTATTTCGCGCGCACTCGCGATCGCATGCATTCTTGAATCTTGTTCGTAGCATGCTAGCACTGGAGCAGTGGAGAAGCGTTTTCTTGGAGTCGTCTTGTCTTCGCATACGTCTCTCTGCCTTGGCCTGCTAGGATTCGTGAAGAGACTACAACTGGTAGATTTCTAGCAGCCAGTCCTAAGCTTAGTAGCGGTGAAGTACGCTATTTCCCGCCGATCGGACCAAAATTAGCTCAAGCCACGGCTCCGGGCCGAGGTCGAAAAAGCCATTAGCGCCTGGATGCGCCAGCGCGCTATGAGCTCCGTGGCCCCACAACTACTTCTCACTGAGCAGATTCTACATGGTCTGAAGACGTCTCCAGGAGTTGGGGCCTGGATGAAGAGTTTCTCGCTGATCCAGCCACGCAAGATGTAGAACACTGCGTTTAGCGCGCTATCGAGTATCAGTGAGTTAGTCACCGGTGCACGCGCACAGCAGTACCCGTCATCACTGAACCTACAGAAAACCTTCCATTGCTGAAACTTGAAAGCCTGCAATCATAGTAAGTAGTGCAGAGTAAAAAAATAAGTCAAAGTAAATATTATTTAATAATCGCCCGGTGAACCCTAGTCGGCTAGTGGCAGATGCAGCGCCTAAGTGGCCTTAACGGTGGGGGCTGGGGATGAGTCTCACAACTACTGGCACAAGTGCCAAAAAAACCATTCCTGGCATTAGCCATTAGCCGCATCCATGTTCAGAGTAGCTGTCTAAAATTGTTATTATTATTGTTAGGGCTGAAACGATCATTCAATAACTCTTAACGATCAACCAATATCATTAACGATCGATATATTGGTATTATCGATTCTTGTCGGCTCTACCCGTGTACCTCGAACACCAGTTTATGAAGAAATTCGACGATACCTTTGCTACGTTAGAAAGTTGTGGCACCGCACTGTTGACATCTGTAGACATCTGGCTGGTTTATCAACATGACCTAGAGAATTTCATGTTGTTTCTAGAGCGAAGAATCTTGTCATCACCCTCCGGCAACTCCTCTTATCTCTGACCTTTCCCGCAAATGAACTGAAAAGATCAAAAGTACTCTCTTCCGATCTCTTTCAAAGCCACAAATCAATTTTACTGCGCTTGAAAGTACAGGAATGTACTCGTATCCGCTATCGGATGGAGGGCAAGGGCTAGAATACTGTCACTCATATACATGCATAAAAATCGTTAGCACTCGTTTTGAACACTAACGATTATCGATTGCACTCTTAACGATCGAGATGCGAGTTATCGGTATAATTGTTTCAGCCCTAATTATTGTTGTGAAAAAGGAGAAAGACAAAATGTTACGAGTTATGACAAACTGTCCACCAACGTAACCAGATCTTATACAGTCAGCGAGTGCGACAAAATGGCACGAAACTGACAAGGAGTACTGAGACATTCGGCGACCTGACACCTAGCTGCAACACTTCTCCAAGGCGCAAACCAACAACCTTCTAACTTGGAAGGCTCAGGTTCGGAAAGGTCCAAGAGGGGAAGGAAAGCACAATGAAGAAGAGCGCGAGCTACGCTTCATGGCAACAAAGAATGCCGAAAGTTACTGGATGATGACGAAACTAGTAAGACTATTGGACATACCAGCCTTACTACAACTCGACGACGCAAAGCAACAGACTACCCAACTTGGGAGGCTCAAGTTTATGTAATAAAGATAGAAAGGGGAAGCTAAGCGAAGATGAATTGTGACAAAACGAAACGTCAACATCCTACTGAACTCCACTATCATGTATGATGGACTAGTTATATACAATAACAAGTAGTTCCACACGACGTACGTTTCGCCGTATAGGTCAGTACTTCTTGTCAGTTTTGTGCAATTTTGTCGCACTCGCTGACTGTATAAGATTTGGTTACGTTGGTGGACAGGAGCGACACTAACTCACCCTGCTGTCTGGAGTTCGCGAGGTGTTTGTGGGTGCTGGAAAAGGAGTGCCACTGTAAATTGGTATCACTAGTGATGTTTAGGCTCAGAGAGCACTACACATTGCAGTGCTCTCGGTGCACAAACTTCATTAGCCTCCCCAAGCTCAACTGATGAGGGAATGTGCTAACTTTACTTTAACATTTACAACAAGAGCCATCCACTCTATTATTGAGAAACATGTTCAGTTTTTAGCAGTTCGGATTGTAGACATGCCCGTGGTCTGCCCTCCCTCCCCCCCCCCCCCTCCCTCCCCCCCCCCCCTCCCTCCCCCCCCCCCTCCCCTCCCCCCCCCCCCTCCCTCCCCCTCCCCCCCCCCCCTAGTACTAGTATGCAATGCAGCTGCAGTAATTTGTAGATTGGCGGATTGACTATCTTTTAACAATGCAGGCGATGGCCGACTTTTGGTACGATGTCATCAGGCCAATCTATGGATGGCTGCTCTATATCCGACTCGACGTTCAGGAGCACAAGCAGCTGGTTCGTGGATTCAAGCACTCGAAAGGACTCGACCCCAACAGAGATTCTGTCAGGGTGACGGTCACTGCATTGCTGGATACTGGCACAGAAGGGGGCATGAGACTGATTGATGTGCTTTCCAGGAGTCCGCAGCGTTGCAACCAATGTATTGCTGATTACCTCCAGAAGACATGGGATCTCCGTGTCCGGGCAGGTCCGGAAGCACTCACAAAAGGTGGAGTACTACAGCCTAACAAGTTTGCAACCACATGTACTAGAAGTACAGTCAAACCTCGTTAGGACGAACTTCAAGGGACCGAACAAGTTTGTTTGTCTCAGTATCCGGAGTTCTTCTTGTCCAGATCTGACAAAAATTGATATGCATATCATATGGATTGTATTTATGTGGAGGTGCATGCTGTGGCAAATGTAAAACATTTTTTCCTAACATAACCCAGCAATAGGTAAGTACAATGTGCAATGACACCATTACATCCGCCTTGTAACATGTTTTGCCAGTGCAAGTAGTACAAGAGGCCTCGACTATCGGAATAACTACAGCCAGCGTACCCACGGGGACCAAAAGTTCGTACTACACGCTGATTTTGTTCAAATCACGCTTGAAATTAGTTCGTCTTCACGAAAGTTCGCCGTACGAAATTCGCTCTAAACGAATAATTTTGACTTGATATGATGCCTGGCCACCCATAGGATTGGCCCCAGTTCGCACTAAAGGAAAGTTCGCCTTATCAGTGTTCGTCCTAACGAGGTTTGACTGTAGCATCTTGTATCTTTTCTTTGCTGTTTATGGAGAGCGATAAGAAATGGGGGTTGGTGAAAAGCACCACATGCGCTTGCACAATACAGAACAAGAATACTTACGTGCGCTTTTTTCTATTTCTTATACTGTGTGCTTGAAATTCAACAGCACTCGTACTGTCAATGCATGACGTTATTATTCAATTGTATAATATTGTCCTAACAGCAAAGTCGATACATGAAAGGCCCACAATGGGAAAGAAGGATGACTGGCATCATCATTAAAATTTGAGAAGAGTAAGCCGCAGAGTATCTAGAACGAATAACAATTTATCCTGTAGCTATGCTAAAGTCGTTACTTCAGTAACGCCTGGCGCTAGCCAGGGTCCACACAGCTTTAATTCCGTGTTTGTTTGTTTGTGCCGTCGGCATGCCTGGCGCTATCCCGTACCTGTCCCATACCGTAACATCAAAGACAGCTGGTCACAATATTCAAATAAGGCTTTCAAATGCAAGATCATAACGTGAAGCAACTTGGAAGAATGAGTATGTATGCGAAGTGTATCGGGGGAATGCATGCAGGGCGATAGTGTGGTTTCGAATCCTAGGTATGTCTTGAAAAGCTAGGAGAAATGAAAAATGTATAACATCCCTATGCTTTTTTGCCTAGGTCATCAAGGTGGTAGACGGTGTCGTATTACCCTTGAATGCAAAGAGAAAGTTTTTTTTCTTTCGCTCAGGGCCCTACGCTATGCTTTTTTTGCCTAGCTCATCATGCATGTTATTCGGACAGATGGAAACTGTTTGCAATACAATGATGTAGCCGGCAATCAGTTTGTTGTGGTATGATTGGGAATTGTAGCCATTATTATTTTTCTGGTTTTAGAGTTCGTATCGGAGCAGCCGCTCTGCAATTCGAATCGAGCTGTCATGGTCGACGTAAAATACTATTTACATACACAGGCTCGGGGAGCGAAAGTCGCTCTGTCCCATAAGCTGCCACATACCAACTAAATACAAAACCATGCACTTCACACGAGCTGACTTGCACGCGAGGCCCTTTTCACAAACTCAGACAAAGGGATTGGTCTATAGGGCTTGAAAGTGCTACGTCACAGCATAGCAACAATTTCAAAAATTCAAAAACTGGATCCACTAAGATCCAGTGTTTGTATGGATCCAAGCACATTTCAAGCCGTCTTACTCACAGCAAGGTGATGTAGCCAGTGAAACTGACTTGTTTGGCTACTGGAGGCGGGGTTACAACTGGTGGCGAAGTAAAAGTCACCTCTGCATACGACATGAGTGGGTTGCTATGCACCCACATACTGAGGCAATAGCAAAGTCACACCTTAGTGGATCCAAAATAGAAATCTGATGTCAACTTACTACTCCCTGGCCGTTTTTGACGTCATCACTTTCAAGCCCTATCATAACGCATGTACGAAGTCACTAGATTACACCCGCATCAGTGATGAAGGCGACAGCGCCTGACATCAATACGGTGTTGTATGGTATAAGGATGTCGTATAGCATGTCGTACAACAGTACGATGAAATTGTGGGAGAAACCAGCGACCGCTTGGGAACGATGAATATTACAACAGTCTTATTGTGAGTGATAGTCAGGCCAAGTTTCTGAAGATCAGTAGCGAGTGCTATCACGAGCATTATGTTAGCATTACAAAAGCATAGACAGGATGTGTATTATAGGAAACCCAAGTTGCTGAAGATCAGTAGTCATTGCTGATAACGTGCAGAAAAACTAAATCCGCAGCCTCTTTTGCCATCGGACATGATGCGTATTATAGGAGACTGTAAAGTCATGTAATGTGCTCCACAGGCAACCATGCATTCGGCCGTCAGCAACAGTTAAGCACAAGCACACTATCAAGGCAAGGACATTATTGTATTATTGTATTGTATTGTATGGAATATAATTTTACCTCATTGGCTCAAGAGGTCAATGTATTACTACAAAACGGCCAGAAAATCCGATTACAAGGAGATAAAAAGGAAAAGAAGGGGCAAACCAAAAGTGGATGAAGTAAGAAAAAATAACAATCCGCAATAAATTCTGCAATTACTTTTGCCTGACTCATATTCAAACTGATTGCCGAAACGATTTTGGCAATACAATGATGTAGCCAATCAATGGAAAAAAAAATTTCCATCAGTTCTATTAACATGCATGATGAGCTAGGCAAAAAAAGCATAGCGTAGGGCCCTGAGCCTTGCCCTCTCGTTTCGAAACGGCATACTGTATAGCAGGAAATTTTCGGACAGAAATATTTTCGGACAAAGCCGAATTTTGGCCTTTCGTACGGATTTTATTTTCGTACAGTGCTGCATGCTAAATGCACGTGTTCGCAAGCAGTACGCATGTATACTATTGTATAGTGTACATAATTTCACATGAACAAATTTAGTACAGAATGTATTTTAGTACAAAAGAGGCCAAGTACGAAATTGTACGAAAATAAATTCCGTACGAAATTTCCCGCTGCACTGTATACAGTACTAGTATATCGCCATACAGTTTCCTTCGTAACTGATAAAATATAATGCACTTTAAAATGCACCTAAAACGGCCCTAAACCTAAAAGGCGAATTCTCAGCTGCATATGTAAAGCATCATTCACAGTAGCCATTGATAGCACTTACTCCTATCTCTAGTCTAAACTAGCCATGGAAGTTTGTTTCAATGGCAGCTCCAAAGCTCCACAGATTCAGCTACATATAACGTGTATTCCACGAGCTGACGAGCGAACATACTACTTCAAAATACTGTGAAGATTTGTTTATCTATTTCAGTATTTTGGCTCCCCATTGTCCCAAAGAAGTCGAATCTCTTTCAAACTTTGGTATGGGACATATGGCACCCTACCGGTATCCCCACTGGAAAAAATCCTAGTAATAACTATGAAATTCATTGTTGCAGAGATACAAGAGTGAAATTGGTTTTCCCCATCTACTCCCATACTATCTCTCTGACGTCCTAAATCCGGCCTGGTCTGGGCAAGTTTATGACGTCATCATGATGTCACCAAATTTAGTGCAAACGTCAAGCTGGTATAACTCTGGAACGCCTGCTCCGATGAACCCGGGACCTTCACCATTGGAATCAGTGCATTTTTCGCTACAGGTTGTGAAGTTTTCATTTTAGGGTGAACTTCCCCTTTAACAACAAAAGTTTTATGTACATGGTTATGTCCGGAGATACATGTATTCACATGCGAACTTATGCTGTGTAAGTCACCATCCTCATGATGTCACTGAATCCAGGCCACAGGGACATTTTTGAAAGGAAAGATAACTTCAAAGATTGCTACCTGTGGACCCTGTTTGACTGGGAAACCATGTATTGCAGCATCTTTTGACCTAGACTACCCAATCGGTGTCTTGATTTGCTACGCCCTCTGAAACGCCTTTACGCCATGCTTCAGAAAGTGTGTATCTCATTTTGCACGGCCCAGTTTCAAGTTGCATGTACGTTGGATACATGCCTGCATCATCAGCTCTAAACGACAACCTGGCACAAACTC